GTCGTCGGGGACGGACGTTTCCGCTGCATTCGGAACTCTTTCCATTCTCGGCCGGGAATCTGCAGCACGTCGACCGGGCCCCCGTTGACGTGGACCCCTTCGGCCTCGTCGACCATGTTCTGCGTCTTGATCAGCGGGATCATCACTTCGTCCGGGAGCTTGGCCGCCGCGTTGAAGAGGTCCAACCGGATCCCAGCCGGGATCATGAAGTCGGTGCCTAGCACCACGTCGACGCCTGCGTTGTGGTCGATGATCCACATCTCAAAAACGTAAACACGCTCCCATCCGAGCGTAATCTTCACAGACGCCCTCCGAGTCGTCGTCGCCTTGCACTTGGTGATACCCTGGACTTCCATACACCGACCATGGTCTGGAATGTCCTTGATTCTCAGCCGGTTGGCGTACTTCTCGGAAATAACACTGACGTTCGCTCCAGTGTCCAGCAGGATCCTCGTTCGCGAGTCGTTGACCGCTCCATTCACCAGCGTCCTCATACGTACTCGTCGGTCGAATTTCTGCGCCGACCAGCATCCCATACGCTCTCCGGGTAGAAGGCGTACCTCCACGTCGAGTCGTCGGCGCGATGTTTCCTGCACTGCACTCGTCACCCAGTCTTCGGCAGTGTCTTCAATCACTTCTTCATCACTCTTCTCACTCAAATCACCTCCACCGAGGCTTTCGCCTCTCTCCTTTTCAAATTCCGTCGCGTTCACCCGTGTACCTCGTCCTTCATCCGGCCATTCGCACTTGCCCACAAAAGCGTAGATGCACTCCGCTTCGACTGCAGGCTCGGCTAACTGTGGCAGCCCGATTGGGACCAACCCAGTTTCAGTTGGCGGGCTGCCTAGTTTAAATGTTCCGTGAAGAGGAGGTTCTGGAGCTCAGGAGTGAGGTCCTTCTTGTTCACCTTGTTGCGGGCAAGCTTGGTGAGTTCTTGGAACACTTCGCATCGGCCTGCGTCGTGCACTTGTTTGCACAACTTGCAGCGCCGGTTGCAGAAGTGGGCCGAGTGGGAGAGACCACCACAGGCAGCGCAGGGACCGTACTGGCGTCGTCGATTGTCACGGCCATCTCGGCTCTGGTATCGGTTGTCCCGGCTGGGTTCCCGACCACTCTGATCGCGTCGGGAAGGCCGATTGTCGGACTTGGCGTACGTGCCGTCGGCTGCCGCGCGTCGTTCGCTCTCGTTCGCCGCAGCCACGTAGTGATCGCTGCCATCCGTTGAGTAACCATCGTGTCCGCCTTCCTCCGAGTACCACGAGTCATCGGAGCCTCGATCGCTGGCGGCGTCGCTGTCATCGCTGAACTGCTGGCGCGTACTGTCGCGTCCGGTCGAGGTGCTCCTGCTTGCAGTTCAGCGACTATGTCTTCCACTGATGCGTCAGCCAGGGTCACGCGAGGAACGTTCCTAGAGTCGTCTCGACGACGCTCATAATCTCGTTCGCGTCGATCCCCACGGCTGTGGCCAGTTCGCGAGTCATCGCGGCGGTACCCGTCTCGGGTGTCTTGGCGGCGCCGGTCATCTCGGCGACGCGAGTCATCGGGACGCCTGTCATCACGTCGGCGGGACGGTTCCCGAGCCTTGGATCGCGACTGCGAAGACTCGCGCGAACTCTGTCGCTCTTCAACCTTCAGCATTTCGATGATCATCTCCTCCAGCTCATGGATGTCCTTGATCCGCAGAGGAGCGAGTCGTCTCTCCAGCTTACGGTCGCCGCAAGTCTCCAGGAAGCGCTTGACGTGGTCCTTCGCCTTGCGGCCGCCGTTCTCGAACTGGACGCCTGCGTTGCGGGCGTAGCCGTTGAGTCGGTTCAGGTAGTCGCAGACGTGTTCCTTGTCGTCGCGCTTGGCTGAGTAGTATCGGGTTTCCGCTGACTGGCTGAACTGGGAGCAGTAGTAGCGGATGAAGGCCTCGCTCAGCAAAGTCCAGGTTCGCTTGGTCTTCTTGGTCAGTTGTCGGTGCCAGTGTACCGCGCCGTCTCTCAGGCGGAGCTCGAAGGGCATGCACCATTCATTGGGCGGCGAGTGTGTACCTTTCATCTCGTACACAAACGCGCGCAGTCACTGCATCGAGTTCTCGCTCCTGTTGCGAGCGCCCGAGAACGTCGGGATCTGCCCCAGTGGTCGGTGCATCGCTACCTCGAGCCTCGGCGTCGGGTTCACGGTCTCTGCGTCGCTCACCTCCCCGATCTGTCGCAGATATTCGTCCATTTGCGCACTTCCGTCTCCCGTGAAGTCGTCGTCGTCATCGGATGAGTCGTCGGCGTAGCGGGACTTGCGACTTGAGCTCCGTCCGGAGCTTCATAGACTGCTCCTGGTCACTCTCGAGTCTTCGGCACCACGCGCAACTCGTTCATTACGAGTCGTCGCGGGTGGAGTGACCATGTGGGAGTCTTGAAAGTACGGCGATCGCTCGCCCGACGCACTGAACACTCCTCCAGTCGCAGCCCGGGCTGAGTAACTGCGCTCGGTCTTCTTCGGAGTTCGCGGGAGCGGGACGCGCGCTGGGTCAGCGCCGCCCTTGTTGGTGCGAGCCGCCTTCGGCTGTTCCAAAGAGAAGGGGGTCACCCCGAAGGCTGTACACAACTTCTTCTTCCATTGCCAGAGCTCGGCTCCGGCTTCCGCGGGCAGGAAACTCTCCAGCGTCGATGGCGACGGGGCAAGCGTGGGCCGGAGACCCAACGCTTTCAGGAACGTCACCATGTCCTTCGCCACTTGCTCCACTGTGACCGCATTCACCGGTCGCGCCAACTCGTGGCTCAGGTCGGCCCACACCGCTTGGCGGATCATGCGCGGCTCGAAGAGTCGACCCCACTCGCTCGCACGCATTGCTTCAAAGCATCGGCCGAGTACCTTGTTGGCTGCCGGTGTGTCTCCATTCATCGGCGGCCGGTTGCCCGAGGTTTGCTCGGTCACTTGTGTCGTCCGCACTGGCGATCGTGAGTCGTCGGCGCTGTCTTCAAACTCTTCCATGTCATAATACGCTGGCTCAGGGCCATCCACATCCTTCAGCTCGCCCGCGAGGTTGCGCGAGACGGGAGGCGCGTCGTCTTCCAAGTCGCTCGCGAGACTGCGCGCCAGGGAGCGCGAGCCCCCGCTGCGTCCCGCGGGCATCACTGCATCTTCCGGAGTCTCGGGTGTCACCACCGCTGGCGCAGGCGCCTTCTCCTCCAGGTAATCGTCGTATTCTTCATCCATTTCTTCACCCTTGGCGTCGGATCCAGTCATCGACTCGTCGAAGCTGACGTGGCGCTCAGCAATCGGGTCGAGTTGCGGCGTGATCAGGGCCGCCGTCGAGTCGTCGCCTCGCGTTCCGCCGGACTTCATCGGAGTTGCTGGTACCGCCGATTGAGATCCTTTCGCCATCTTCTTGTTCTTTTTCTTGCTCTTCTTCTCAGTTGTTGCTCGTAAAGTCAGTTGACCTGCAGTAGCACGAGACACAGAAGGTCACACCAATCCCGGGTCGCGGCACCAGTCGTCGTGTAGGAACACGCACTAAATTATATAATAGCACACTTTCCCCACCAACAACACCCACCAAGTCCCGATGACTCAATGGGCTTGTTAGGGTTAGAACCTGAAGGCCCAGGAACTTTCCCTTGCACCGGGTTGACGTTTCCTCTGTGCACCGTGTTTCCGCTTAGTCAACTGACGGAAACCCAGCGTCACCAGCCACGAGCAAAGGCTGGCACGCTCTCACACACAATATAAACCTCGCAGACCCTCAGGAAGGAAGGATCCCAGCCAGTCACGGCTTGATACGAGGGTGCCGGAGCTATACTCCGGCGGGAAGGATAAATGGAGTGCGCTCTCGCTCCTCTACTACACGGCGATGACTCGCCCTTCGTATACACGGCCACCTCTTCTCTTCTCTTGGCCTGACCACGGGTAAACGCACGCTACGATACTAGCAGGCGCGTCCACCGACAGTCATAATCCTACCAACAGGTTTATCCAATTGCTACGAGAACTCACCGATAGCCCGGACGTCTTCCTTGAGTGGTTGGGAGGAAAAGCTGTTCTGCCATTGTTGCCCAAAGGGCTTATCTGTTCTATCTTCTCTTTCCTACAAATATCTAGTCTAGACGTGTCCGTTGTGGATCTTCCAGGTAACCACCCGACTCTTCAGAACTCTCTTGAAGGCTCGGACGGCCTCCCGATGACTCGAAGAGTCGCCTTAGGTGCGGAACCCAGGCCAAAGTTCGCCGTAGGTTCGGGTCGTCCTTGAAGTCCCGGTGTTGTGTGGACACACCACGGCTTAAGCTTGAGTGTCGACGAGTCATCATCATTGGTCCAGACTGGCCAATCCGCGGCCGTCGAACACCATCGAACGAATGGCGATGTGCCTCGATCCGCCAGTTGAGTCGACGCCGAATGCCGCGGGGCTTGCCGTGAGCTTCACTCAACTTTCTCGACACCACATGAGCGAGAAGTTGCTCGGATTGAAGCGGCTCGTGTGAAGGTAGTCCAAAAAGCGGAAGAAGCCGAGCGGAAACTGCTCGCTAGGCAGGAAGCGAGTAGACTCCGAGAGCTACGCAAGCACGAAACCAAACTGCGCAAAACAGAAGAACAGCAGCGCAAACGAGATGCGAAACTTCAGCCCCAGGCTGTAGTTCGACGAACGCAACCACCGCCAGCTCAACGGAATGCGAAGCGACAACGTAGCGACGAAGACTCGGCACACGATCCTGTCAGGATACTAGAGTTTGCAGACATGTAGATGAAATGTCCCGAGATTTTGCCTTGCCAGCTTGCCAAAACCCATATGTTTTGGGGTGTCAAGTTGGGTTGATTGTCGTTGGAGGCGCTCAATAATATGTGAACTTTCTAGACTGACACAGCTCATTCAATACATTCGTTTTGGGCGTGTAGCTTTCCGATGGTGTGCGCACGGCTTCATAATTCCTAATTTTAGCAACACAACAACAAAATTTGTGGATTTGGGTGGCAAATTGGTGCCCTGTACTTACCGGTTCACGAGTGGTACAAAGGTTGCTTCAATGTCGCGCCAAAAAGCGATGTTGCACCAAGAAAGATTGCGCGCCGGGTATCACCTCGATTGCGCCCACTTCAACGTCTTTGCTTCCATGCCATTGCGTGTCGTCTCCTCGCCCTCATTTCTCCAAGAATCGCCTTGCCCATGGTTCGCGTTGTCATCTTCAACGCCGACACGACGCACCTTCTCGGCAGTTGAGCGCGTTTTGGTCGCCGCCGGGATGCCGCACTCCCCCGTCGTGTATCTACAGGAGCTCAACGAAGACGTGCATGTACTCGGAGAGAAAATGCACTTTGAGCACGCTAGCTTAACGTCCAGTGCGCGTGTGTTCAAGTTTGGTCAGGTACACTAGTTGCTCAAGAGAATCTCGACGGTGTGGTTAACCTTAACGCAGGGGGATGCTTGGCAGGCAGAGGATGGCGTAGAGAGGACGGTGGGGCCTCGCACGTTAGCCCAGGTCGGACGCTTCGCATCGAACTTGATTGCGCGGCGTGCTATTGTGGACTTGCCGGCTTGTGCACTAAAAGTCGAGAATGAAAGCGCCACCATCCGCATGAAAATTCGCTTGGTGACGTTAACGACCTTGCCCTTTGTCCGGTTTGCAGCGGCCTCTGCAGCGAAACCGTTGACCTCTTGCTCGGATAGCTTACGCTGACCCTTGAGTGACATATCCCGGAAAGCTATCAGCTCTTCTGCAGTCATGCGTACGTAGCGCGGAAACCCGTCCTGAATAAGATCCAGTGCCTCTTCAACAGATAGCGGAGGTTTCGGGCGTCGAGTCTTCACCGAAGGTGTTGCTCTTCGAGGCGTCATAGGCACCGAAGCTACTGTAGGCGTCGTAGGCGTCGAAGCTGAACTCGTAGCTGCTGAAGGTGCTGAAGTCGTCGTAGCTGCTGGAGGTGCTGAAGTCGTCGTAGCTGCTCCGCGTGACGTAGCTACTGCTGAAGTCGTCGTAGCTGCTGGAGGTGCTGAACTCGTAGCTGCTGAAGGTGCTGAAGTCGTCGTAGCTGCTGGAGGTGCTGAAGTCGTCGTAGCTGCTCCGCGTGACGTAGCTACTGCTGAAGTCGTCGTAGCTGCTGGAGGTGCTGAACTCGTAGCTGCTGAAGGTGCTGAAGTCGTCGTAGCTGCTCCGCGTGACGTAGCTACTGCTGAAGTCGTCGTAGCTGCTGGAGGTGCTGAACTCGTAGCTGCTCTGCGTGACGTAGCTGCTGTTGAAGTACGAGCTGCCTTCGCGGGGGGTGCACCTTGCTGTTCCCCCCAGAGGCCCTCGCTGTCCCTCCGACGCTTGGGGATAATCTTGTCAATATCAGGATTTGTCGAGCGCAACTTGCCAGCGGCTTCTTGGACTTGACGTTCAATTCTATCTAACGCGTTCCGTGAGAAGTACAATCGCGAACTAGTTGGTAAGGGTATGGGGCAGTTCCACAGCGACTTTGAGCTCGATGGCTCTGAAGGTGAAGTATTTGCTACTGAGAGCTACTTCATCGGTAAGAAGACCTATGTAGACTTTCTAAAATGCACTGAGAATGATGTTGAGGGCGTCCACAAGCGCATGAAGGGTATTCCAAGCAAACTGATCACGGATCCTCGAAAGACCTATAAAGAACTTTTCGATGGCATCGACCAAGAATTTGACATGACTGCAGCATGTCCAATTAAGATCGATAACAAGAGCCAGCGTGTCAGCCGAAGACAAGCATTTACACGTATTGTCAAAGCTTAAGTAATGTAATATAGCAGAGTTTAGACCAACATGGAAACTCAATACGTAGATGATTTCAACGAAACGGAAGAGGCGTATGATAATAATTACGAAGAATGCATGCAGAGCCCAGTTAAGAAGATCACTAAAAAAAGAGAGACGTCTCTACTCGTCCGGTCCGAGGGGTCGCAGCCGCAGGCGAATGACCCCTGGGGGCATTTCGCCAGAGCGCCAGCTCTATATGAATTTAATGATATTGCTACTCGTGCTCGTCCTCTATCGCCGAAGCAAAAAAAGAAGTACCAAGGACTTCTGACTTTGCATCCAGACAAGCTGATGTTTGGAACAATTGAAGATTATTGCTCGTATAAAAAAGCTTGGAGCGTAAAGTCGTCTCTCCACCAATGACTCTACGACCCCTTTACCTCAAAAATCGCCGGAGAGATCTTCCCAGAACGTATTGCGGTACTCTGCGGAGAGTATTGTTGTAAACTCTATCTTTTCAAAACATCTTATGGAAAGTATAGCTAACTGCAAACGCTAATGATTGGCTAAAATGTGAACTAACTTTTTTCGCTTCCATTCCTGAACTCGACAGTCGGAGCACAGCAACGATGGAGGTGCTTCTCGCTGAAAATGCGCTGCTACGTCAGCAGGTCCAACAGCTAGAAGCCCAACTCACCCACGCGCTGGCGCTGCTGGATAGTGAGCGCCAAGAACGCGCTGAAGACCTCCGCAGCCACCGCCGCGAGAGACTGGCTCTCATCAACGATATCGGCGGGAGGGTTGATGGTCTTCTAACCACGCATAATGAAACGAAGGACGCTATCATTGACCGTTTGGATACACTAGAAGGCAAACTCACCGACCCAGAGCGACGGATTAATCAGGTTGAAGGCGATGAGGAGGTGATTGTACCATTCACCATGGACGGCAATCCGATTGATTTACGGAATAATTTTCAGAAGGAAGCTACACGGTCAGTCCGGGCAAATATTGGTCGGGTACGTTCAAGTCCAAGTATGGAGCTTAACAGGTACCATCAGGGCAGGAGGAAGCGGGCGCGAGAGGAATCGAGTTCAAGTGTTGCAGGTCGAAAGTCAGCCAAGACCTCATCGAAGACATTATTAACCGAGTCCTACTTGACTGCATTGCGACGAAAGATTGACCGAGCGCTTCGAGTATCTTCTCACCAAGAATGTAGAGGATCGTCTCCTGATGTACCGCATTCTGGACCAACAAGCGAACGAGACTGCCGCTGAGGTTCAACGGCAGCTGAATCAGGATGCGGAGCGCCGCCGGAGAAAAGCGGAGGAGGAGGAGGCGATACTCCAACTCCATGCCGACGAAGAAGCGAACCAATTTTGGCGACAGACTGAAGAGCAGGCCCGTGCAGAGCGAGAGGCAGCCCGGATCCAGCAACAGAATGCCGTGGCGGCGGCACGACGCGAGCTGGCGGCTATTCAGGAAGGTTTAGCTCTGGCTGTACAGCTCACTCGCTTGGATCTCGAAGTGCAGATGCTACGGAGCCTTGGACTAGATGATCGGAGCCGCAACGCACGCAATGCCTATCTCTGGTTACGGAGCATCGGTGGATTTTAAGGTTGTTGCTGCGTGCAGGCTTGTAAGGCACACCAGAATAAAATCTTGCAAATCTTGGAAGTTATATCTGTAAAAATCTAATTTGTAATAAAATAGATTTTACGACGATACAAATTCAACCTGAGGACAGCGCCGGAGCACTCGTCTGGACGGAAGCACACCAGTGTAGGGCCAGCGTCGGTGTTGATTCGTGCGCGTGTGTGCATCCTCCCCACGTGCTTAGTCCACCTCATACTCACCCGCGTATTGTGCCGTGTTCATCAGTGCCAAGATGAGCGTCGTCGCCGCCTCGCAGCCGCAAAAGACCTACTCGCTGGCGGACAAGAAGCCCTACTTCAAGCACTTCTACCCCAGGGATGTGGCCATCCTGGCCGTGCGCTCCACGGCCATGCAGGGTCTGATGCTCTTCAACGCGTACGTGGCGTCGCTGGACCTGGACGTGTCGGACGAGGAGGAGTCGAGCGAGGACGAGTTCGAAGACGTGGACGCCGCCGCCGAGGACAAGGAGGAGTTCGTGGCCCCCTCCATGGAGGAGTTCAGCCTCGCCACCGTCAAGTCCTTCGGCAAGTCGCTGAGCATCACCACGTACGTGCGCTCGCTCGAGGAGGTGGCGCTGTGCCTCTTCCGCCCGCAGATCGTCAGCAAACTTATCAAAGGTATGCGAGACGATACGCAACGTCGCTGAATATGCTAGCGAGGCATGCCTTTTGCTGATGTTGTTGTCCGCTGTATCAATGTGCAGACATCAGCAAGTCGGCGATGCGCAAGTACTCGCGCACGTCGAGTCGCATCGCTGCGGCGGCCTTGATGGTCAAAACGGGCATGCGTGCCAACGTGCTGAGCCACCTTGCTATTTTCCTGGTGGAGGAGGTGCGTTGCTATCCTTTGTCTTGTTGTTGCTGCTACTCTGTGGTGACAATGTTGATCTAACTTTTGAAGCACTTAAACTCACCGACAATGAATTGTGTGTCTTCGCCTTGAAACCCAACAGACGCAGCAGATCGTGGTCATTCTGTACCGACGCTTCGTGTCAAGGAAAGGAGGCAAGAAGTCCAAGAACAATCTGCGCTCTATCGAGGAGGGCGTCCAGAGCAGCGGCAGCGACGAGGAGGAGGACACGCTATCGACGTTCGTCGCCGCCACGGGCCGCAACGCATCTCGCTCCGCTTTGGCCGTCATCACGGGCGGCGTTGGCGCGGCGGTGGGCACGATGGTGCGACCAGGTATCGGCACGATGATCGGAGGGACGTTGGGCGACACCCTCGGCTACGTGCTGTTTTAGACGCGAGGTTGGGCTTCGCGGGGACGAACGAAGCAGAAGACCCACCGAATGCATAACTGCAACATCAATGCTATACCAAGACAGCCACAGGAACTCCGACCGCGGAACTGCTTGCACTCTTTGCCTACCGCCCTCATATGGCTTACGGACGATCGGATACTTGCCGCATGGCGCGGCATCAACACACGGAAGCCATTTTTTCGCGGCAGAGTTACCGGTGCAGCTCGAAACATCCTTGTTGTCCGCTGGTCCGAAATGAATTTGAAGGGACCGTTTTTTATACTTGACAAGCAAAGCGCGACCCACTTAAATCGAGACGGAGCCAACGGTTCCTTTCGTGGAAGTTCCAATATGCATTTCGTCAGGTTCGTACCAGTATCCAGATTACCTGCTGCCGTCATTCGCGACGGCGTCACTGAAGTGGATATATGCCCTAGTGCAGGGGGGCACTTGCGGAATAAAAGAATGCCAGCTCACAAAGCAAAGAGCGCGCGCGTCGTCGACGTGATCGAGGCGCTCTGAGTGTCTGCCCGCCGCCCGCCCCGCAGCGTAGCGGCCTCCCCGCAGCACCAGCGCTCTCCCCGCGCCTCCCAGCACTACAGACGCGCTCTGCTCTCGCCTCACGTCACCTGATTACGCCGTCCAGCGCGACTTCAAAGCCCAGACGCAGCTCATGACCACGGCGTCGACAATGTACATGGAGACCGTGTCGCTGAACGACGACGCGCCCCCGTCGTCGGCCTCGGCCCCCACCTCGACGGTGCTGGACGTGGACTCGCTGGAGTCGCAGTTCTCGCAGCCGGCGGCGCTCAAGGCCTCCAAGGACGCCGCGTCGTCGCCCGAGATCGCGGTGCCCGTGTCCGACAGCGATAGCGACGAGGACGGCAACGGCCAGAACAAGGACGTGAACGTGCAGTCAACGGGGGCCATCAACGGCCTGAGCTTCCAGAAGCACGCGGACGACGCCGTCGTGGTGGACGTGGACCTCGGACACAGCGACAGCAACGGCTTCAGCAGCCAGAATGGCAACCAGCAGCAACACGCGCTGCCCCCGCTGCGCGTCATGACGCAGAAGCTGCCCGTGGAGGAGCGAGACTACGTGGACACGACGCTGTTCTCCCCCGAGGTCTCGAGGCATGCCATGGAGGTGGCCCATCGCCGTGCAAAAGCTATCGCCAACGAGGTCAAGGAGATGATCGAGTTGGAAGGCGAAGTAGCAGGCGCCGCCAAGACCAAGATGTCCCCGGCCGAAGCTGTGGGCATCATTGGCGGCGCCTTTGCGAGCTCGCTGCAACGCGCCAAGAAGTTGGTGAAGCCTGGAACCAAGGAATACGATCTATTGTCTGGGACATCCCCGTCGGCAGGCATGTCAAAACTGGACGATCTTGATAGGGACGGAGACGGACTGCAGCTGTCGCCGGATGCAACGCAAAGCGACGGAAAGCACTTCCGTACGCCTAAATTGAGACCCGCGCTGAAGCGGATCTCGGCGTACTCGGCGGCAGCTGCGCTTGAACCTGAGAAGAAGACCTCGAGTACTCGGCAACAGAAGAAGAAAGGCATTCAGTGGCACGAAGACGTGCTGGACGCCGATGAGGAGTTCTACGAAGACGACAGCGAGGAGCAGGAGACACGCTCGCTCATGAATGGAGACGGAGATGGCATCAACAACAGCAACGGAAGCCCTCGACCCCAGATCCTCAACTACAGCAGCAAGAATGACGGACAGCTCACGCCTCGCAGCAAGAAGAAACGCAAAAAGCTGGTCAGGACCATGATGCGGCGACTCACGCCGCGCGAGAAGGAGGAGCTGTACCGACAACGACCAGATCTGATGATTGTGCCGAACTGGGCGCAGAAGTACCGCGAGGAGCTGGCGGGCGAGGACTCGACTCGCTGGAATGCCTGGCTGCTTGGACTTATCTCGGTGTTGGCTGTGCTGCTGTTGGTGTTCGTTCTGCTCATCGTGCGGCAGCGCGCCGCCGCCGCGACTTAAATCAACCAAGTAGCCGGACCCCATTAGAGACGAGCGGCCACGCGGGACGTGGCCTGCTCCCAGTTTTTGCTGCTTTATGTTTGGCTTGTTTGATTGAACCTTATAGCTTGACGCGCAGAGAGAGCGAGCGAGGCGAGTGGAGAACTGCGCTACCAGATCACAACTACGAACTCACATTCCATAAAATATTTACTGGGACGTCAGCGCGTTTTACTTTATCACCGTCGGTTTCTTCGGCTTCTCTATCTCTTTGGGAATACTACTACTACGTAGTAGCATATCTTTTGGAGCAGTGTTCAGCAATGCAACCAACGCTCAAGCTAGCAAGAAACAAGCACGCATTTCGTGTATTTCTTGAGGGGTTTGAATTAAATCGTCGTCGCGTAGAGGACGCCAAATTGCAGAAAACGAAGAGCTGGGTTAAACGAGAGAGACAACGGGCCCGAAGGCAGCCTCAAAGACAGCGAGAGCTCGCCAATCCTGGAGGTACTACAAGCCACGCTGCTATCTTTCCTCTCTTCCGTCCACGCCGCGTCCTTTCCTTCAACCTACGCGCACGTCCCCGAGGCAGTCCGAGCGCGCCTAGTGGTGGCTGTGGTCGAACTTGCCGTTGACGCGCTTCCAGTAGTTGCTCTTCTCCTTGTCCTCCTGGGTGGCGCCACGCGTGGGGAGGATGCCGCAGATCACCCACGCAGCACTGAAGGGGGTAGAAATAAATCCATGTTAAATAAGGGGGTCTCTCTACAAAGTGGTGGAAGATTGCTATCAGTACGTACGCTCCGGCGATGAGGAAGGGCTGGAAGTAGGAGCGCTTGGACTCGTGCACCAGGAACTTGGTGTAGGGCAGCTTGTGCCATCTCACGGCCTTCTTGGCAACGGCGGCAGTCATCGTGGGTCTGGGGGCTCTTGGGCTTCCTGTGGCGACGGCGATGGCTGTTGTGGCGAAAGAGAGGCCCAGAACGCTCGGGGGAGAGCGGCGGGCCAATGGATACCCTCGGAAGGCTGGTGCATCGTGTTGGACAGGGACCTGTCAGACATTATATGGTCGCACTTAGTCGAAGGCAGTTAGACCAGCATGACATCAAGGCACCTGAATGCGCAGGGCAACGAAGGAGAAGTCTGCGTGGAGAACCACCATGAGTTGATACTGATGTACGAAGCCAATATGCCCTTGGACGTATGGCTATTTTACTTCTAGATGAATAGAATCTTGATCTCCGCTCGACGCACGCCATTTGCATACAAGTTTAAAAAGCCAAGATGCACAAAACTCAAGCCATGCTCCATTTCAAGTCTTCTCAGCGCACTGAACCACTTCGCCCTAGCATTGCTTGTACTTCACTCGTCGACCAAATAACGCCAAGAAATTGGCTATTGTGCCTAAGTGCAGCGTGTATGAAGGAAGACATCCTTGAGAACTTCCATAGGACAGCAATCGTTCTTACGGCTCGCAAAGACCTAGCAACGCAGCATAACAAACACACAAGCCATTCCATCTCCCACCCTTCAAAGTAAAGCTGTGCAATACGAGCTCTGAGGGCATCACCGTTAAGCCGATCAGAGGAGTTCAGGGGACTTCGCCCAGCGCGCTGCATCATCACCTGTAACCTGTGTCCTGATACTCGCCCGACCTGCTGCATTCCTGCCTCCTTCCGCGATTCCTGAACCTGTCTCCTGTTTCCTCACCCTCGCCGCACACACACCCAGAAACCTGCGAAGACCCGCAACCCGCAACACACGAGATAGCACAGACGAAGACGCTTGCCGAAAGCCTTTGATTTCACCGGAAGAATAGACGCGCGAGTCCATTACGGATTAAAGCGGGGTCAGACGGTCACAACGGCTGGCTTGTGTCTAGTTGCAGCGCTGGCTAACAACGCACAGCTTAGTAGTCCTCGTCTCCGCCGAACATGTCCATGCCGCCGCCCATGTCGACCTCTTCCTCCTCCTCGACGGCCTTCTCCTCCTCCTTGGCCTCAGCGTCGGCGGCACCGGCAGCGGCGCCCGGGGCAGCGGCACCGCCAGCGGCGGCTCCGCCCGTAGAGATGAGCTCGATGATCTTGCCCTCCTTGGACAGCAGCGACGCGAAGAGCGTGGGCCAGTAGGGCTCCACCTCGTTGCCCGAGGCGTGCACGATGTGCTGGATGGCCTCCGGGGTGATCTCGTGCTCCCCGTCGAAGAGGATCATGGAGGCGTACGCCACGCAAAGCTCGTCGTGCTGCTCCTTGGTGATCGTCGACATTCTTCCTTTTCGCTTTCGGCAAATAAATGCCCCGCGGCTGGCTGCGTCCGCCAGCGCGGGCCTATTGGTTGGCGGCGAGCTGCTGTGCGCGTAGTTCGCGCTAGGTACGATTTGTGTCGAGCACATCGATACTCGCGTGGTCCACGTAGATTGGTCGCGCGAGTAATTACGCTTTTTACTCACACGACCTTCGCGTCACCTGTACATATTTGATGTGTTGTACATAGTGCCCAATTTCAAACAGCTCGAAGCGCGCCATCCTTCCGCACGCCGAGCCGAGCACCTCGACGGCGAGAAAGAGCGTCGGCATGCGCGCCGCCAGCGACGCCAGCAGGACCACCAGCAAGTGGGCGTCTCGTGCATCGCTCGACCCGTTCGCCGGTGCGTCTACTGACCCGTTGGACGTCCAAAACGGCGCCGAAACGGCCGCGTTATCGCCGGATCAAGCCGACGACGGCAAGGAGAACCGCATCCCGTCCAGCGGCCGCAATTGGGGCCACCCGAACGTCTCCATGAGTCGCGGACACCGACAATCACTCCTGGAGGCGCAGCTGCTGCCCCCAGAGCTCAATTTCGAGGCCTCCGCGCCGCTGTCGCTGCTCGGGAAGCGGCCGAACCCAGACAAGCGCTCGCCCGCTGCCCACAGAGCGTCCCAGAGCGACGATGAATCAGATTCTGATACCGAACGTGCTGCGCGGAACCCGTGGGTAGCGTCTAATGCGGTGGCGCACTTCGAACAGCGCGCGCTGGAGCTCCATGGATCGTCGCTGGAGCTGGAACACACTGAGGACGTTGGCTCCGGCTCGGCCACGATGCTGGTGGACGACTTCAGCCACTTGGGACAGCTGCGCTTCGGCGCGGTCCCTCTGGGCGAGAGGAGGGGCAGGCAACTGACGCTGGAGAATGCCAGCGAGCTGGGCAACGCTCGCATTAAATATGAAGGATACACTCTCGTGCGCGACGGATCGGGTGTGGAGAATGCAGCAGCGACCAAGTCGAGGTTTAAGTGTGACTTGCACGTTTGTGTGGTGGACGCAATGAAGTCCGTGACGCTGAGAGTAACGTTTGAGCCGCAACAGGGAGATGTAGGGCGAGAGGTGACGGCCATGCTCAGGTTTACCGTGAACGATCGCTTCAAGTTGCAGTGCAGAGCCACTGGGTCGGTCACGCCGCGTGTGCCGAAGGTGGCTAGGTTCGGACGGTCGCGTCCCTCTCGTTCGGTGGATACGGTGGTAGTGGTGTCGAGGGAGAAGCAGACGCGGCCGCCTAGGACACCTGCGGTGAATACCAGACAGATGACGTCGGAGCCGAGGAGTACTGCGTTCACCATTTCTAGCGCGTTGAGTGCGGGCCACCACGAGCCCGAACAGGAGCCTGTCGTCGTCAGGCCGAGAGCACAGGTTGGCGACAAACGCCCCTCATCGATGTCGATTGAGTTTTCGCCGCCTCGGAACGGACCGAAGAGAAGGAGAAGTGAACCGCGTATGGGTATGACTAGGGTATTGACGCCAAGGAAAATCCTCGGTGCCGGACAAGACCCACCATCCGCGAAGAAACGTTTCTCTGGGTCCTGGTGGAAACAGCGCCAGGAGGTGTACGACGAGAACTGGATGGCAAAGCAGACTGAAGGTTTCACGAAATGGATGAATTACGTTTTATTAGATGGAACCGCACAGCGTCTCAGTGGAGGCGATGCGGAGGATGATGCCGAGGAACAGGGCACAGGAGCAAAGCGCAGGTTTGATTTCTCGTCGCTGCGGGTGCTGGCTCAGAAACGCATGGAGTCGAAATGGGCTCAAGCAGCAGTTGAATTATACCATTCTCCAAGCATGGACGACATTTTGTTCAATCTGCAGGATGAAATTGGCAACCAAGGGCTACTTTTCCGCGCCGACCGTCCTGTATACGCAGACGTTGGGCTACAGGAAGAGCTCATTGGCCTGCTGAACAACTATCATCCCGTGTGGCTATGCTTGGGTCTCTACGCTGTTCTTGGAAACCAGGTCATGAGGCAAGAAAAGTGCTCGCTGCGAACAATTTTCAGCATCACTACCGCGAAGGCTACCAGAAAAGGGAAACAAGAGTCGCCGCCAGACAGAAGGATGCCCCAAGTATTGCGCCGGATCATTTTGAAACATTTGGTCAAGGATTCGCATGTTGCCCAAAATTATCGCTTGGTGAAAAATCTGTTGACCCCTATGGATGGTTCCACTGCGGACCGCAACGACGGTGGTAACGCCTTCAAGAACACGAAGAAAAATATCAACGGCCGTGAATACTTCGACTCGCTGACGCAGTCTTTTATGTTGAAGTTCTTCATGCTCGTGATCTTTTTGGATCGTGCGATCGAGCACAAGGCAGACAAATTCCCTCATTTTCCCTGCCTCTTCCGAGTTGCACCAACCAACAAAAAGACTACATCCAGTAAAGCTTCGAGTAGCAGCAACGTCGGCCAACAGAACAAAGCCAGCGGTGCTGGTGAGGAGCTACGGGTGAAAAACTCGCAGGTGTTTGTGACCGAATTCTGCAGACTGTTTTTGGCAAGCGAGGGTCGTATCGACAAGCATTTGAAGCAACTGGGCTACACGCTGAGGCACGAACAGACGGCATTGGATGAGATTGATCTAGAAATCAAGAGTTTGGAGACAGACATGCGCGATGGTGTCCGACTAGCTAAACTCATGGAAGCACTCACAACCTCTCCGCCGACCCCTTGTACAGGTCTGGATGGAGAGAGCGTTTCCAAGCCGAAGGGATTATCATCCTTCTTGCGCGTGCCAGCTCTGTCGCGCTTGCAGAAAGTTCACAATGTGGAGATCTGTCTGCACTTCTTGCAAGATAAATGCGGTGCAAGCGTGCTGGATAACCTAAAGAGCAGCAGTAGCAAGGAAAGCAAGCACAAAATAAGTGGGCGCGTGCGGGTGTCCTCGTCAGGATTTGCTGGTTTGCGCAGCAAGGTGGACGAGAAAATGATCGAGAACCTGGCGAAGGACATCGTGAATGGTCACCGCGAGAAGACTCTCGCGCTGTTGTGGAAGCTCATCAGTTCTTTCCAGCTGCAATCGCTTGTGGACGCCCAGACAATGAAACGGGAAACAGAGAACGTTGTCAAGCGGATGAGTTTCCGCGCGAAAGACTTTTTCGATCGTCAGCAGCGAAACGCCCCTCTCGTGCACGCTGATGAACACGAATGCTACGGGTTGTTGCTGGAGTGGTGTCGTGCCGTTTGCGCCAATTACGATGTTGGAGTGGACGACTTCTCTCGATCTTTTGCCGACGGAAAGGCGTTATGCTACCTTCTTCACTACTATCATCCGATGCTATTGTCGAAATCGGACATGCTGCCGACAACAACTGATTTACGTGACGAGGAGAATATCAGCGAGAAGATCCTCTTGTCAAATGAACAGCGGCATTTTGCTATCATCAACGATCGTATCAAGCAGCTTGGAGAAGTCCCGGTGCTAATGCCACAACAGTACAATACGAAGAACCCGCCCGAAGAGAAGATGGTCGTGACGTTCGTCTGCTACTTGCAGTCACGCTTGATGGATTCCTACAGTGAGATTCACGCTGCATCGAGATTGAAGCGTTGGTGGAAGAGCCCACTGATTCGCTTGCGATTGCACCGAAAGAAGAACATCAGTGCGCGCATCATCCAGCGATTCTGGTACACGTCCAGTCAGAAGCGATTGGCTATCCGTCAGTGCCGCAAACTCTTGCGAGCAGCTCATCTCGTGAAAAGCACCTTCCAAATGTGGGTGGCCAGGATTCAGTTCCTACGGTTGCGAAGATCTGTGGTGGCCATCCAGCGAGCATTCCGTGCTCGACAGCAACTGCGCCTTAATGGAGATTCAGTAGGCGCTGTTCTTGTAATTCAGTATCGCTGGAGGAAGCAGCTGAAGTGGAGGCGCGAAAAAGAGCGGCGACTTCACGAGACTCGGCAACGGAAGGCCGCGCAACGTATTCGTGTGAGGGCAAGCTGTGCTATCATCGAAAGAAACTGGTTGCGGTATTTGTCCAGGGAGGGAGCTCGTCTGGTACGACAACAAATGATCGCAGATCGGCACCTAGCTGCTACCCGAATTCAACTTGCATGGAGGCAAAGTCTCATGCGTGCTGCTGCACGAAAGCAACGGAAGCAGGAGTGGCAGCTAGTGCATCGTGCATCTCAAGTTATCCAGCGTGCTTGGAACATTTTCCAGTGCCGCCGCGAGGCGACCCAGCGAGCGCTGGCTCTACAGCGCTTTGAGCTGATGATGAAGGAAAAGGAACTCCAGAAGAGGCGAACCAAGCTCAAGTACAAGGTGGAAACACGTGCTGCAAAGTGCGTCCAGAAAGGATTCCGTAAGTTTGCGCTGCGTAAGAGAGATGTGGCAGCTACAAAACTGGCGAGCGCATTCCGTGGTGCTAAGCAAAAGCTACAATTCCGCAAAGAGAAGCATGCTGCTGTGGTAATCCAACGAAATGTCCGTGTTTGGCGTCGGAGAAGTCACTTTTCAGCGTTGACACAATTCTACAGTATGCTCAAGACGTACCAAAGAATGAAGGCGAATGAAGCGCAACGGCGCGCATTGCGAGCTCAGGAACTGAAGTTTAAAGTGCAGACGCGAGCAGCACTTCGCATTCAGGATCTTTACCGAAGTTACCGATTCAACAGGAGAACTTCGGCAGCGACAAGGATACAGAGCTTGGTGCGTGCTCGGATCGTGAGGAGCTGGTATTTGCACTGCCGTCGGAGTGCGTGTCTGATTCAGAGGAACGCACGGATATGGCGTCGTCAAGGACAGGTTCGAGCATTGCTGGTGTTCCAGAACATGCTCTTGCGATATCGATGCATGCAGCAGCAGGAAACACAGCGGCAAGAACGTATTCGCCAGGAGCGGCTTCGTCGCCTTCAGGAAAGCGTGGAGCACCGTGCAGCGTACCGTATCCAGTCTGTGTACCGCTTTTATGCTTATCACAAGAAGATGCTGGCGGCTACGCTTATTCAGGCGGCATTCCGTGGATTAAAGGAGCAGCAGCAGTACGCCAAAGTGCGTGCAAGTGTCGCTAAAGTGCAGCGTGCGATCCGTTCTTGGTTGTCGATGACAAGATTTCGACGGGCTCTCTTCGTGCACCGCGCAGCAGTTTGCATCCAGAAGTGTGCACACGGGTACATTTCTCGCCATCGCCGATTTAACTTTTACGCTCTCCAGACCCAGCTTCAAAGGCTGCGGGTTTTGATATCATGCTGGCGGATCGAGTTCTGGTTCAGGAACCGCATGATGAGGTACCGTAAGAAACGCGCTTTGATTGTGCGGGCTCGTTGGACGCGACTTCGTGCTGGAATTGTGCAGAAACGTACCTCGGATGTTCACAAGATTACGAGAAGTTGGAGGTCGTTCTGCTTGAGGAGTGTTATTGACGCACGGATCCAGCACAAGCTACAGATGCATGCTGCTGCCCAACGTGTGCAGGTGTGGTGGCTTGACCTGTGCTGCAAATGGGCAGAGCGCCAGCGGCGCGCCGAGGAACAGTATCAGCGCGAGATGGAGGCGATGGCGATGGCTATGGCAAAGGCGCGCGCTGCGCGTATTGTGGGTTCGTGGCTCCGCCAAAAGGTAATAATACCCTATCGGGAACGTAACTTCCACTTCGTTGCAGTGCGGAAGCTCCAGGCGTGGTGGCGAGGAACGCTGGTCCGGGTGCACCACAGTACGCCAGAGGTAACGCAGCAGCGCAAAAAGCTGTCCACGATGAAGTTGGTTGGCCAGGAGCAGCAAATCGGTGCGAGTACTTCGTCCAGCACCAGTCTGCAACAGCTTCGGGTCAGGACGCACGAGGAGAGAAACGTTCAGACTGAGCAACCGCAGACGCTCGGATCACGGTTGGATATGGCTCTGCACATGCTTTTGCACGGCAAACGGCTACAAGATATGCTGTTTGCAAGCCACACTATCGAAGTGTGCACGCGGTACTCGCGTGAGTGCTGCCGCAAGTGCGTTCAGCTCCAGATTTCGTCAACGATTTTTGCAGCCATTCGTGGCTTGAACCGCAGCCGTCCACACGTAGAGCTTCTCCACCAGCTCCTGCTGGTGCTGAAGAACCTAACGGTGTATCGGCGGTCAGCGGACAAGGTCAAGACAACACGAGCGGTTGCTACCGACGATGACAAGGACCGCCTCGACGTTGATTTGCGTGCTTTGGACACCTTGGTGGACCTGCTGCACATCCACCGCGATATGCACCACGTTTTCATCCTGTCAGCGGACGTGATCAAGTACTACCTGGGTTTGCTGAAGCCTCTCGCTGGAAGGAATCCAAACGTGCAAGAAAGTTGGAGTGAAGCCGAGAAACGCCTGAGCGGACTGCAGGAGCTGCTATCGAGGAAGTTGGCGCTGTACAATGCAACGGCCTCGTTCCGGCGCGTGAAAAATGTTCCTGAAAAGAACAGCGCGAACAGCCTCATGAGGAAGATGAACCCCAAGACAGCCGTGTCCATCATGGAGCAGCTCGTCTTGCTGCTGGAGCGGTAAAAGAGTACGCAGCACCCAGACAAATCGCTAGTATGAATGGTAACGTTATTAAATATGATTATTTGCCTGAATTGAAAGCGCGGATGGGAGTGTCCACCTGTCGATGCACTACACAGCCAACTTCTAGTAACTGCGCACTGACCTTTGTGCCGGCGTTGAGGCGAGCACAAATATCAGGCCCAGGATGTTGGCATCCATGTGATGAACTGCCATCGACTCCGCCGTTGAGTGTCGCGCAGTGCTGCCATTCATCACAACACTGATCAGTGCGACTTTCGCCTGGATTGGTAATTTTTTCTCGACGACCGGCAAGAAATCTCCATCGTGGGCGGTGAGCTCTCTCACTTCTTCACCAAAATTCCGGTTCGTTTTCGATGCGACGACCAGCTTCACGAGGTGCCGTGTCATTCGAAGTGCGGGGTTTCGCAAGCACGCTGTCAGGTCTGACACCGCATCGGGCCACCAGATCGCCATGTCCTGAATGGGCCACGCCAGTATGAGCCGAGACCACCACGTCACAGTTTGTCGTATGGAGTCTTTCTAGTAGCGGGCATACGCTGGCCAAGACACTGAGATCTACAACAGGTTGGTTGTCATCCTTACTCGCCACTTCAGTGGACAATCTGCGAATGCCACCGAAAGCCAACTTCAGAAGATCCATCGTCACCCCAAAATCTTGAAAAACCAATACCAACTCGTCACAAAGGCGCTTCTCGTTTGGGCGGAGTTTCGTCACATCAGGCGTGAACTGCGTAGAATCACCGAGTCTTGTCTTGCAAGCCCCGTAGCCAGGAACAACGAGATCCACAAAGTCGCTGTTAGTGACATCGCAAGAAGCTCGGCATCGGAAATTGCAGGATGCAACCAGAGCGTTGCTGTCATCAGACGGAGATTCACGAGACCACAGCTGTGTGCCTTCGTCAACATCCACGGACCCGTATACGCGGCCATGGCTTTGAGTCGCACTCATTGCTGTTAAAGGGAAGCCAGTAGCCAACACTGCCGCAATAGCTGACATGTCCTCATTGGTCACTGTCATTGCTCGAATCATCAGTTTATCGACAACGCTTTCGGGAGCTTTGGTGCTGGTAGCTCTGCAGTGAGCGCATACATTAACCACGACCACTCGTCGGGCTTCATCACTGGGAGGCGTAAGCTTTGCAGTCGTGTCCTTGGGTCCACCAGAGCAACTGCCGAGCAAACGGCCGCATAAATAAAAGCGGGTACCGAGTTGTACGGTAAATGCAACATTTTGCATTCCGCTCGAGCTGTAATGCGGGCTGAATCCTCAGACATTGTTGATGTGCAGAGTGACCGACCGCAGATCAACGCGCCCAGGAAGAAGCCTGCATTGACCAACACTCCAGGAGACTTATTCTGGTTACAACACTCCAGCTTAAGGGTTAGATTCGAGGCTGCAGTCCAAGCCAATCCTGTTGTCACCTTCAGGATATCCGACGCCTCAGCAAAACTATGTATCTTTGCGTCTACGTCGTGTCTTGAACGCGTTAATAGAGTATCCGTTGCCGGAGGTTGCCTGGGCATCCCATCGCTATTGTGATAGAGTGCGAGTTGGACATTAACGGGAGCTTTCGCCTCCAAAACTCGCCGAAGTTGAGTGGACGCAGCATTCAACTCACCAATCGTATGGTCGAATGTCTGCGTACCGCTTAATTTATAAGACAGGAAGTTGCAGCTCCACTCCATCGAAAAATAAATGGGCCCGTATGCTTCCATCAGCTTTTCATACCCCATCGCCACTAGTTTATGAGCTGCAGCTCGAAAGTCAGGCGAGTATTCCCACGGGTCACCCAGACATCCGAGCAAATCCCCCCAGGTGAGTGAAGTTTCGACTGCGGCGGGATCCGATGCTGGCAGAGCGCCGACGAACCAGAGATTCCAAGTTACGGTGCAGAAGTCACTACACTGAAATTTACTTGAACCCATCGCTAGCTCGGCAAATGCGTCATTGTCCACAAACAAAAGCAGCGTGAACAGCTCAATTGCCTCTCGTAGCCGACGCGATCGTGTTTCATGTCGGCGACTACCCTCATCTACGGGGACCTCGAGATAAACTCTGTGAAGTGCCCAGTCGGTATCATATCGGACTTGGCAAGAAAGCTCCACGCGTACCAATGCGTTGCGATTTTTCTGGAGCATGCTTTCATCCAAAACAGCACGCCAAGGCTCCAGGAATTCCCAATTCGATGTCATCTGCCCCCCACAAAAACCAAAGTGCGAGTTTCCCCATTGTCGTCGCGCGCTGCCATGAGTTATATCATTTCATATTTTGAAATGATACCGAGGTATGCATCTACCTTGTTGCCCGTACTATCGAGTTTCGCGTAGTCGTATTAATACAGTGTAGAGCAATATCTTCAGCAGGGAAGGGCACGGCCATTCATAGCGACATACATGTAACTAGTTGACAACTAGTCTAGTTGTGGTTCAAATGGAAACTAGCTACTTTGGACTCGAAACCATCTAGCCCATACACTGGCATTCAACCGATCGCTGCGTCGGTGTTGATGCGAATACAAAGATTGAGCTCAGAATGTACGCGTCCAGGCAGTGAATCGGCTTCGTGCTCCAAGTCGCGGCCGTGACGACACTGATCACGGCTGCCTTCGAACTCGTAGTGAGTTTTTCCTTGACTACGGGCAGGAATTGACCATTGTGAGCCATCACCTCGCGCACTTCTTCCTCTGCAAACTCTTCATTCTTACGCGGGGTCACCTTGAGTTGAACGAGCTCCCGAGCCATTCGTAACTTTGGGTCCCTCAAACACCCCACAAGATCAGCCAGCGTGCAGGAACATTCGTCTAACTTGATCGTCTTCACAGACCAAAGGCGCAGAGCTGCTTCATGTTCAGACACCACCACCGTAGCATATCTGAGACAGAGATACAGGAGATTGGGGCAAGCCCTAGCCAGAGCGCAAAGGTCGACATGACTCGCGGCTGTAGCGTCCTCTGCGTTGAAGTATAGTTTCAGCGAGCAAAGGCCCCTCGTGACCAGCACCAACACATCTATCAACACACCCGGGGTCTCGAACTCAACATAGCGCAGTTCCAGAGTTCCACTCAATCGTTTCTCTCGAAATTTGGACCCCCCCCAGTATCAGCCGTGAATCGGACGCCTCTGTCATCAAGTTTGGCCTTGCAAGCGCCATATCCGGGGACGACGAGATTGATCCACTCGCTGTCGTTCGGGTCGTGAAGTGCTCGACATCGGCAAGCACTAGCCACAACAGTCGAGCTACGACCCCCACCAAATGCTCCACAGAGACGCAGCTCCGTGCCTTCATCAATCTCGACAATACCATACTGCTGGGAGCCATTTGGACCAGACTGCAACAGCGGCTGAGGATAATTATCTCGAAGCGCGGCATGCATTGCCAATATGTCAGCTTGTCTCAATGCTCCCTTCCGAATTTTGACACAAGGCACACCCACATCTGAAGTCCCACCACAAATCGCGAAAATAAGCCAAGGCCACCGCCCTGAGCCTTCTAAATCTATGCTCAAAGAGTCTAGATGCGACTCAGCTGACAACGCCGCGACTGCCGAGCAGATTGCAGTAAACGCCCACTTACATGTCCAGCACTGCATTCGTTCGTTTTCCCATTTGCCACTGGAATGGGATTGTTCAAGTGTTCGCTGCCGGTTTCAGTCACAAGACGCATCACGTGTCCGCACAGCAGCGAGTTCATCATAAATCCAAGATTCAGCAGGGCTTGCTGCGAAATCATTAGGGTAGCGTTGAGGTCTAGTGACAAATTTGCAATTGCGGTTCTTGCCAATGCGCTCAATAAGTCAGAGACCCCAGGGTGGCCCCAACTTTCTATCGTTGCACTTACGCTCTCACAGCGGGGATTTGCTGGGCTCCATGTACCGTAGCATCTTAGTCCTAGGCGTCGTTCACTCCTAAGGGTCAGTTGTAAATTGACCAGTAGGACACTGGATGCCTGCCAAAAGTATAGTAAACGGTCGACATATCTGCAGCAGATATGCCCGGCTTAAAAAAGATATATGTCGGCATATCGCCTGAAAGCTTCACCAAAAGTGTCTTATTGCTTCTGTCTACGTCCGGTTCCTACTGCCCTGAATCAGGTGGCTACACTATAGAATATGCAGTCACTTCGATGTGAACCTGTCAATTTGCCCCGGACACTGAAGCGGCAGCACTGCTGCCGCACTTCTTCTAGATTCCGTCACTTTCGGATTCGTGCGCGTCGAGCGCAAGCAAGCTCAGCGACGATGGCGAGCGTGGACACGGACGCCTTCCTCGTCGTGACGGACGCCTTCCTCAAGCAGGGGCGGGAGCTGGCCGAGGCGCGGCGCGAGGTGTACCGCTTGCTGCTGGAAGAGGCGTGGCGGACAGCCATGCGAAGTCGCAACTACCTGACGGCACAGTGCCTCGAGGCACCATGCAACTCGGCCTGGATGCTTCTCTACCGATTTGGGAGCGATGTCAACTTTATAAACGCGACGAGTCTCACCAGGTACATTTATTGATCGAGTTAAATGATACAAAGCTGTATGTAGCTAACGTGTGACTGTGTGCTGCAGACCTGCTTTCGAGCAGTTGCTGCGAAGGTTTTCGCGCTTCTACTTCATCCCCAAAGCCAAGTTGCGCGGCCGCCCGCCCAAGCTACGGTACCACCATCAAGTCCTGGGACTGGTGCTCTCGTTCTACGTCGGCTCGATGGAGCAGAGCTCGCTGTCCATGCTCTTTGGCTTGCCCCCGAGCACGCTCTCGCGCATCCTGTGTCGTGCAGAGGAGGCGCTGTCCAAGGCGCTCCATGGGTATGCTCCGGCGCGCATTTCGTGGCCATCACCAACGCGCCAAGCCGAGCTGGCAAGCTCGTCGAGGCACGCGAGCCCCTCCTCAAGTACACTTTTGGTTTCATCGATGGCAAGAACTTCAAAGTACGTATGCAGTTGTATTCATTCGATCCTATCCGTCCTAACCCATATTGTTGGCTATATGCTGCAGGTGCAGCAACCTTCCAACGCAGATCTTCAAAATGCTATGTACAATGGATGGCTACATTCTGTTTTCGTTACAGGAACTATCTATTTTGCGACCGACGGCTGCATTATCTGGAGCCGACACAACTGCCCGGGTTCATGGAATGACTCGGACACGTCGCTCGGCTTTAGGTTGAAGCTACTCGATCCAGCCTTTTGCCCGGATTCGAGGATGAACGTCGTCTCCGACTCCGCTTTCCCCTGTTCGACAGCTATGGCGGGGCGCATTCTCACACCCCTCAAGGACGGAGACCTCGAGCGGATCCTGCCGTCGCTGAGGGCATCGGCGCGCACCCTTCACAATGCCATCACCTCGGTCCGCCAGGCGGCCGAGTCGGGCATGGGAAGCGTGCAGAAGGTCTACTCGAGACTCAACCTGCCACTGCCGTACGACCCCAAGCTCCGAGGACTTCGCCTGGACAACTTGTTTCGCATGGCCAACTCCAGGGTCCGAACGGTGGGGATCTCGCAGATCCGAACCACGTTTGCTGGCGAGATGGAGGTGCCGACTCAGGTTGCCTAAGTAGTGAGCGATTCATAGCAAGTAGCGTGGCAACAATATATTTTGCGTGGCGTAGAATTTCTCGAAGTCCTTGCAAGTACACTAATGCTGAACAGATGATGTGAAGTTGTTGTAGGACTTGCTGATGATAACGTGGAAGATGGTGCTTATCGCAAGTTAGAGATCGATGCAGTTCAGCAGCGAGCACGACTTGAATGAAGATGAAGATGCTGTACATGAAAAGTTGTTGATTCAACGGCTTTGAGATAAATGCAACGCTACTACAATATGAATGCGCCATGCTGCGAGGTGCAGAGCCAACAACTCCTTCCTTCGTCTCCATCTTTGCTAACGCGCTCTTCTTAATGGCATTGATCAGCATGATCAGCTCCTGCGTGCGAGTGCGCGCATCCTCACGGTCGCGACGAGCTCGGTCCTCTCTTTCGAGTTTTTCTTGACGACGGCGTCCCTGGGCTTCGGCCTTGTCGGCAAGGTAGCGAGCCTCTTGAGTAGCGACTTCGGCGCGGCGACGCTTGTCCTCTTCAGCGCGGCGTTCTTCGGCCTTGCGTTCGTTCTCCTCACGGAGAAGGAGAATCGTCTCGAGCAGGCTTCCGCCCGTGTTGTTCGCAGCGGCTTCGAGGCTGGCAAGCCTGGTCTTGAGGGCAGTGGACGTCCTCAAGGCGCGAATCCGCTTCGCTTTTGCAAAGCTTGCCTCCATGGTCTCCTTGTCTTCTTCGAGCGCACGCTTGGCACCGACGGTGTCACGGAACGCTGTCAGGTCCTGCCCGCCCAAGCGGTTCGAAAAGTTCACGAGCTTCGGGCACTTCTCTGCTTCTTGACTGCGAGCAGCAGCGAGCGGTGTCTGCTGCGGAGCCGCCGGTGGGCTCGCATTGGCAGCAACGGAGCTGACAGCCGTTCGACGTGGTTTCGGCGGCCCGCTTGCCGTACGGCGCGTGGTACACGTTGCTGGAGGAGGCGCCGGTCGTGGAGTACGTGCACCGTCACCGGACCCACCACTCGTGAGTGGCGCCGCAAGCAGCTCTTCAAACTCGCCCAGACTAGGCGATTCGGATTCGGTGGAGTCGAGCCCGACGGACTCGTCGGTGCACGTCGACCCTTCAGTGCTGGGCCGGCCGGCCGTCTGCACGCCTTCCCCATCGGCGTCGTCGTCGCCGTAGAAGCTCTCGTCGGGGTCCGCTTCGAAGCAGAAGTCGGGCTCGATGGGGCGATCTTCGTCGGCCTCGTCATCCATCTCGATGACGTTGGCCTTCTCGTCGATCGCCAGCTTCACCTCCTTGGCCTTCTTGACGTGCGGCGGCATGTTAGGCGTGCCAGTCGGCTTCCTGGTGCTGTAGAGCACTTTGAATTTGCGGCGGAGGCTTTCAAAGTCTCGCTCAGGGGCACCGCGAGGTCTGTTGGCGTTGTACGACGCCGCTAGACGCTCCCACTCGTCTCGTCCGAGCGGAAGCTCGTTCTCGATCAGCAGCAAGAGGCGGCCGACGTCCGCCGTGGTGTAGTTGGGGTTTCCGGTTTGTCGGACCATCTACATGCACAACAAGTTGAACAACCCCATCAGCAAGCTTGACATCAACGAATCTCGCGTGGGGCAGCGTACCAGGGCTGGAAGCGCGCGAAATTGAAGCTTGGGGCGGGGCGGGTATGCGTCTTGGAGGAGGGTGCTCGTTGCTTGGCAAAAGCAAAAGTGAGAGAAACGAGTGCGCCGAGAAGCGGCGGCAACTCGACCAGCACCATGCCGCCACCGCCACCAATTTGAAAAGGATGCTGCTCTTAGCAGCTTCAACCTGGAGCGCGCGAAAGCTTCGCGCCCAAAGTGCCAAACGCAGCAGCAGGAAGCCGGCTCGAGATCTTTCGAACGAAGCCGTCTTGGCGCCAAATCACATTCACAGTGGTCGGAGCATCCCCGTAGTCTGGCAGCACTTCGTCCCCACAATACACTCGATTTTCAAACACCTTCCTGCATTCAGTCGTCCATTCACTCATACATGCATGTTGCTTCACTCGATGCTCCGCGCTCCTTAGCAACCTTGCTGTGCTGCTGTCATCTCACGGGTCTTCTCCGTCTTGGATGTTGCGGTGGCGACAGCCGTCTCGCTCGCAACGGCAGACGAACCAGAGGTCGTCATCGTACCTCCTCGCCACGGTAGATGCGCCGCGTCGTCGCCGCGACCACCGCCCGTTCGACACCTCCCTGAACTCCGCTGCAGGCTCGCACGAGTGATTCAGGAAGCGCATCAGCCCTCCCATCCCTTCAGCATTAATCGCAGCGCAGATCGGGTACGTCGGCTTCTCGGGCCGCTGCTTCGTCAGGAGACGGTAGCCGTTGTTGCGTGGGCGGTTGGCTCGAGATACGCTGACGTGCTCGATCTCGCCTAGGTAGTGGCCGAGCACCTCACCGGCGCTGATGTCCTCGGCAGCGACAACCTCGAGCTGCTGGGTGCGGAAGTTGCGGCCAAGGAAGATCTTGCTTGACTCCTCCAAGCCGTTGCCGCACTTGCCCCCGTACGGGCAGCAACGGGCATTGCAGTACACGTTGACAAGCGCGTTGCGGCAGCTGTCGGTCCGGCAGAGATTCCAGCAACCGCAAAAGCCGAATGGCTGGACCGCTGGGAAGACGGTGGCCAACGGGTTCTATTGCTCGCGCAAGTGAGCAATGGCGTACGGCCACCGTGCCGGCGCGAACACGTCCCCCGGCCGTGACGCCTGCAGTTGAGCACGGGGCGCAGCCGCCGGTACTGTCCGTGTCGCTCGTCGAATGTCGTCCGTGCGCTTGGTCTCCGAGCGCTGGCTGCGTGGCTCATGGCTGGGAACCGTGCGCTGGGTCTCCGAGCGCTGGCTGCGCGGCACATGACGGGGCTCTGTGCGCTGGCTGCGCGGCACATGGCGGGGCCCCAAGCCTGGCGTGAGTACGGGGCGACAGCGGCTTGGCGGCAGCGATCTTGGAGGCGTTTCCAGGAGCACGGGCGAGGACGTCGTCGGGCTTGTGCGCGCCCCCGAAGTTGGCAGCGGGGCCGTCGGCGTCTCTGGCGTTGCCGGCGGGTTCGTCACGCGCTTGAATCGGTGCTTGGTCCGCTCTGGAGTGAGCCAGGGCGGCGTCGCCGTGCCCGTCGCACTGGAGCCGCCGTCAGCACCCATGGCACGGGCGCTGCGGACGTTCGGCGGCGTGTTCTCGTCGCTGGAGGAGGAGGAGGAGTTGACGATGCATCGGAGCTTCCAGTGGATCGCGGAGTGCGTCAGATGCACCATCGTTCCTGCTGTAACACACGGTGTTAGCCAACAGCCAGTAGCACTTACTGCAATTGCAGCTCACGTACCGGAGACCGTTTGCTGTCTTCGCGCCTTCGGAGGCTATTTCAAAAGTGAGCGCAACTTCAAGTTGGCGGCAGGAAGATATAAGCGAGGCAGTATGTCGCCCGAATGACGGTAGAGTGATGGTCGACTTAAAGTATACAAATAACAAGTTAAATATTTAAGATGGCTACACGACATATTCATAGGGGTAGGGCTGTCTATCGACACGAAATCTGGGCCTCGCGGGATCTATGACCGGCATATACTCCGCATATCTGCTGCAGATATGTCGACGGTTTGATATACTTTTGGCAGGCGTCCACTGCCATTTTTAACATATGGCTACATTACACATGATTTTATTTTTAAGCTCTATTCCGTTTAAAACAAGGCTTTTCCAGCACACTCGAAGCATGAATCAAGGGAAATGACAAGAAAGGGAAGAAAAGCAAGACGTACCTACGCATGCCGGTAGACAACGCGCAGAAGATGAAGGTTCTCGGTAGTCGGCTCAAAGTCTCTATTGGATGTTATGGTACTGGGTGCTCAATGACGTTAGATAGTTGGGGACGCTCCCATCACACGTGCGTAGCTTCTTGGAGCAGCCGCTGATGGAGAGCACCGCTTGGTACTCGACCTTGAGGCCGTGGCCTGGCGTCTCCTTCTTCATCTCCTTGTTCATGCTGGCCCACGTGTTCTCGCTGCTGTGGGTACGGCCGGGCACGCCGCTGCTCTCAAAGAAGTGCGCGATGCTCACAGTAGCGGCAGCACCGCGAACATGTCGGTGGCGGACGTGACGACAGCGACGGTAGCGAGACGAATAATTAGCAGTGCAAGCTAATTTGAAATACACGCTTTGTTGTGATTTGCAATAAGTGCTTGTGCAGTGACGCCTAGGACTAAGATGCTACGGTAGTCAGAAACGCGGCGGCATCTCGAGTAGCACACATTCGCACAATTGGAGGAACAGCAACATCGAATAGACCTCGAAATTGACTCCGACTTGTGCTTGATGGTTCACCCAATTGTTCAGGGTATTGGCTCCCATACAGTTCTGAATGCTGAAGGCCTGCCTGCAACTCCAGTGAATCGCAGCCCTCCCATCAACCCCCTTCATAGTAGTGGTAGACTCGCCAACCCTCAATGCCTCCAATTTCTGCGCTGCAGCTTGAAAACCGGGCGAACATTGCAATGGATTATCCGGAAACCAAAGGAAAGTCCCCTACGTGACTTCAGTCTGAGCTGCAGCGACGTCTTGAGGAGACAGAGACCCAGCCAACAGGACATTCCAGATTGGAGGGTAAATGATGTGGTCATCCAGCCATGCTACCGCCAAAGAAAACACCACCTCTTTGAATGCATTAATGTTCACAATCGCAAGCAGTGTGAACAGCTCCATGGCCTCGCGAAGCCGTTGTAGTCTCGCGGCATCTCGCTGGTCGCCGGGAAGCCTGAGGTGGATCGTTGGCCACTTGGAGTAGTAGTTTGGCTCGGTAAACGTAACTTGCAGAGTCGGTTCAGCTGAATTGACATTTTCTTGCCGTATAATGCTCTCGTGCAATACGACCCGCCAAGGCTCGAGGAATCCCCATCCGGCCGCCATGACACCGGCGTAGACCGAGTGGTAACTTGAACAAATTTGCAATGGATCGACTGTGCGTGGTCTAGATATGTCACTCGATCCATCAATCAGTATAACATTATTCGCGCAGCCGGTATTACTAACACAACAACAAATCTAGGGTACCCAAATTGATGTGTCTGGATAGATAGATAGAAGTACACAGTTCACGACCACCAATCATTTCTGTTGGGAAACTCACACTTGGGTTTTAGCGGAGGAGAACACAGCGAGAAAATGATGTCTACCTGGGAATTCCTGCAGCCTTGGCATGCCGTTTTACGTGAAAGCGCGGTTCAGCCAAATTGCATCGCAGCAGACGCATCGGTGCGCATCGAACTTTGCTGCGGAGTCCGAGTCAATGTCCATACAGCGGCTCACTCCATTTTAATCGTGGTCCTCGTAGAGGAGGATAGTCGACGACTACGAGAAGCAATCGAGCTGTTCACGCTGCTCTCGTTCGTGGACAACGAAGCATTTGTCAAGCTAACGACTTCACCCGGGTATCAACTAAATGGCGACTTCTACGTGGCAAAGTGGCGCCTCTTTTTCCTCGGAGCTCTGTCAGCATCTGACGCCACCGCGACCGAAACTTCACTCACCTGGGGCGATCTGCTGGGATGTTATAAGGACCCGTGGGAACACTCGCCTGAATTTCGAGATGCAGCGCACAAAATAGTGGCGATGGGGCTTGAAAAGGCGGTGGGAGCTTTTGAGCCCATTAACTTCTCAATTTGGTGGAGCTGTAGTTCTCGGGCTGGTAAGCTTAGTGGTACACAAGGATACGAGCAGTCGGTTGGCGAGTTGAACGCAGTTTCCGCTAAACTTCGGTGTGTTTTCGAGGCCAAAGCTCCAATTCGAAGCAGGGAGGCTAGATTTCAGCTTTTTGGGCGGCAAGTCCCAGCGATTGCTACTCAATAAGCTAAAGGGAATCTGGATGGGAACCTGGAAATTACGAATTTCAAATCGTCGCCCCATATCCTGGCGATGACTGCAGGATTGGCGTGGACGTCGATGCCAACTTTTTTTATAATGTTGAAGTGCCACGATGGGATATCCGCTGATAACGGTGACGTGGCGGATCCTCATGTAGTGCAAAATGCCGGATTTTTCTTGGGTACGTTGATCTACGGTCGTTCACTATGCCTGCCGGCAGCGCGTGATGGCAACTTTACTATAGTTCCTTCCCGAGCGGCGTATGGAGAGATCAAGTTGGTCTGCCATTCAGTGAGCGACGATGTCTTTTCTCCGCTTGTTCGGCTGTTGCCGAGATGGATTCGAGGCCAACGTTGACTAGCTTGTGTATGAAGTGGATGACCTCCAAGCGGTGGCCGTGGTTGATCTATTGCCTTCAGTGCAGAGCCTCTGGCATTGGAGCCACCGACACCGCCGTCTCAACCCTGACGATTCGAGAGAACCAACTGACAAAGGCGGACATGTCCGCTATTGCAGCCGTGCTCGAGACCAGATACCCCTTACCAGCAGGCGGAGAGGGCATTGCGTACGGGTTTGCGAATGTTGAGGAAGGAGCACAACTGTGGCCGCATGGATTGCCTGAACACGCTAACAACGCCCTAGTTACTTCGAGTAAATTTCGGTGCAGAGCATCGTACGACGCAGCCACTAACGGGGGGTTTGTCGATCTGGTTGTTCCTGGTTACGGGATCTGCAAGACGAGGCTTGGCGAGTCCACGCGATTCATACCCGATCGGACTTCACCTCCACCTCCAGTGAAGAAAAATCGATTCTGTGAGGGCTTGGACCTGTAGTTCGGCTCGATTAACGATGTGGAATTGCTGATGGGTCTACTGGGTCTGTGCTTTCGTGATATTCGACGTCTATCAATTGCTGGGGGCAAAACGGAAGGCAGCCAACCTGTCGTAGATCTCAGCGTGCTGGCCGCCGTTTGTCCGCTGCTGGAATCACTTGACACCACGTATTGCACTGTGGTTGCCTCGACTCATAACGAGGCATTACGCACGTGGCCAATTCAAGAGATAACAGTCATGTGCACCTGCGTCATGTCGGACCTGGCAGCGTGCTTGCGGAACCCGGCGCTTTGTGACGCGGACGTCCGTCTGCCAATGAGATGGCAGAGGACTCCCACGTCAAGTGCTGCTGCACAGCACTTCAGTTTACGCTGGACAGCGTAATACGGGGATGCATGGTTTATATTCATTATATGCTATCCTATTGGCTGGTGTCAAAAGTAAACTTGATTATGGGACGCGTAAACATGGACATTCGCGCGACCTCAATGGCTGTAAATCCTTGATATGTGCAACAATCAAGTTTTCCAGCCGGACGTTTGATTATGGGACGCAAGTCACAAATTTTGGCCAAGCTACGAATAGGATTAGTAGTTTTTCATTGGTAGATAAGGATTGATCTAGGATTTGAGATTGATAGACTTTAGGATGGGACCTGGATACTTGTTTGTGTGTCCTGGTCGCCAAGAACTACTGGTTGCGCGGCGGCGGCGCACCGACGCTAAACTAACGGATCAATCAATCACTTTTCAACTTTCCAACTTCCTCTTAAGTGTTCTTCGAGCGCTCGCCACTGCGCTCATCAAGCTTCGGGTCTTCGCATCGGCTTGTGTGACATGGTAGCACTTGTTGGTCAAGCTTCGGTTCAAGTTCAAGACTAGGTTGCTCGTGGGGATACCTTCCGAAGCGAGTTTACCTGTGACTATTGGAGCTAGCCACATATTGGGACGCTCTAGGTTGCGAACGTGCAGTTTTCGGTGGGAGCACACTTCGAAGAAGTGGGTACATCACGCCGTGGGCAGGTGGAAATACCACATTGGGGCTTGGCCCACGCCTAGACCGGATAGTACCTAACCTTTGGGGTTGTGTTGGACTCTTACTAGAAGTCGGTTCAAGCGCGTGACGTTAAAGTATCATCAACGTCTACGCCGGCTCCTCCTCTTGTTACGGCTATTGACACCGATCTCTTCTTCTCGGCGGTCGAGGCGGAGAAAATTGCGAATTTGCAATCGGATCTTCTCAAGCAGGTCAAAACGGCTAAGAGGGTCCTAGTTAAGTTCCGCAAAGAGGTCTGGGGTATCGAGGACGGCAGCGTTGAGGGTAAGGTCGATCGGCAACTCAACTTAGCTCTTCTCGACCTTAAGAGCTGCGAGGACAACATTGCTGCGAAGATTAACGGGCTTATCCGCCTAAAACCTCAGAAACACTTAGCTTTAAACACACTTTTAGCTTCACTTCGTCTCCGTTTTATTGTACCGTTTTACGGATCACTCACCGAAAAGTCCATCTGCTCGAGACATAATGCCTGTGACAAGGAGTAGGGCGGGTGAGAGTGAATCGCCTAACCCGCAGCAGCGTCAAGTGCCGCGGACGGCTCAAACGGAGGCGGCAACGCCACAAGAAGCGCAAAGTGAAGCCCCATCGGCGGGGACGACAATCCCTGCGCCTGAGTCAATGTCGATGCAGCAGTTGATGTTGTGGATTGCACAGCAGCAGCAAATGTATCAGAATCAGATGCAGACCCAGTTACAGATGCAAATGCAACAGGCCAACAGTCGTTTTGAGCAACTACTGGCCTCGCAAGGTGAACGACGAAAGAAGAATCCTCCCACGTATGAAGGGAAATTTGGCGAAGACCTGGAACTTTGGATTTTTGCTACAGAGGAGTACTACGCTAACAAACGAGGATTAATGGAGGCCGATACGTCCGATGTTGTGACCATGATGTCAAGCAGTTTAGGCAAGTCTGTGCTGAACTGGTATCGTGCCTTTTCGTCGGATTGTGATGCGGCGGGGATGCCGAAATCATGGCAACTGTTTAAGGGAAAGTTGCGCGAGCGCTTTCGCCCGAAAGACTTTGAATACAACCTGCGTGAGCGGTTGTTTCAACTGAAACAACACGGAACTATCCATGAATACGTGTCGTCGTTTCAGGATTTGATGTCTCAATCCGAGTTGGACATTTCGGAAATGGAGAAACGTTTCTACTTCCAGAATGGGCTTCGTGCGGAGACGGCTAAGAAGGTGAAGGAACTCAGTCCAAGGTTCTTACATGAGGTCATAGAGATTGCAACGAACTTTGAGTTTGCTCACTATGGAGGGCTATCGTTAAAACCTGCAGTGAGTCATTAGCCTTCGTCGAAAGCAGTTTCGTCTGTGAAAACTGCGGCTAACAGTACGGCCAAGCCACAGGAACGAAAGCCACCTTCGAAGCGTGGGCCGAAAGAGGATTGGCTAAAGTCAGCCACTTGTAACAACTGTGGACAATTCGGCCATATCAAGCCACAATGTACGTCCACCAAGGAGATGAACCACTATGTTGGCGGATAATTCTATGCTATTTTGGAAGTAAGCGCTTTAGCCTTCAAGCAGGATGAGACCCCCGCAGAAGTTTCGATCTTCGTCGACAATGGCAGCAGCCTCAACGGTGTCACGGAAGCGTTAGCCGAGCGACTACAATTGGAAATCACGGAGCATCCCGACGACATGATGACAGTTCGTCTGGGATACAACCAAACCGTGCAAAGACCAAGACGTACCGTCGAAATGATGCTACAGATTCCGAATTTCCCCGTGACGTGCGAGACTTTTACAGTCATGCCTGTTCCAGAAGACAAGGACGTGCTCGTCGGAATGAAGTGGCTTCGGGAGAATAACCCTGACATCGACTGGGAACGCTTACTATTGCGTCCACGTAATGGGGCCGAGGAACCCCTGGCCCATCAGTTGGTGGTACCTAACCGACCTCCCGCACGTATGATTGGTTGGCGTCGTTTCAAGAATGCAAACCAGAACCGTGGAATATTCCATTGCTACCGGCAGGATGGCCACACCGGTGCGTTCGGAGAAACGAAGCTGATCTCAACGAAGCAATTTATGAAAGAACTTCGCAAAGGGAAGGGTATTGAAGCTGTTTTTGTTGTGAACCCGCACGACTCAGAAAAGGCTGAGCGTTTTAAGCAACAAGGATGGGAGGCGCTAGTGGACAATCCGGCATATGAAGTTTTGCTCAAGTACCGCGATACTGTGTTTCGCACTGAGCTGCCGAGTACCACACTTCCTGTCCGCAAGGGATTGAGCACGAAATTCAGCTTCAGCCGGGAACGCAACCGATTTCGGTGGAACAGTGGCGCCAAAGCCCAGAGCAGCGCAAGGTCATCCAAGATTGGATGAAGGAGATGGTACAGGCTGGAATCATTCGCCCTAGCACCTCGGCATTCAGTGCCCCAACTTTTTGTGTCAAGAAACCCGTGGGTTGGCGTATTGTGCACGACTATCGCCAGCTCAACAGCTCTACCATTTTGCCGGCCATACCCATGCCGAGGAAGGAAGACACATTCGACGCAATGGGGGGTAGTTACTGGTTCTCCTGCATGGACCTCTTGTGGGGATATTACCAGGTTAAACTTCGTGAATCTGACATTCCATTTACTGCTTTTTCGACGCCCGATGGGCTGTTTGAGTATCTTGTCACCCCTATGGGTTTGAGCGGTAGTCCTGGCACTTTTAACCGGTTGTTTCAGCGGGTGTTTAGAGACCTACGCGATGTCATGCGCATCTACTTTGATGACATCTATGTTTTCACTCAAGACACAGATGTTCGGACGCATGTCGAAGCGTTGGACAGAGTACTCCAACGCTGTCAAGAGCAGCAGCTGTATGTCAAGTTGTCAAAGTGCCAGTTTTGTGTCGAAGAGATCCCTTGTCTTGGTGATTTTGTGGGCCACAATGGTGTTCGAATGGACCCTGACAAAGTGCGTGTGATTCGCGAGTGGCCGATTCCACAGACAAAGAAGCAAATGGAAAGCTTCTTGGGTACTACGGTCTATGTCTCGCGCTTTTGCGCCGACTTCGCGCAATTCGCAGGACCATTGCATGAAAGTACTAAGGGTTTGCGCCCAAAGGAAACGCTGCATTTGTTTGAGCACCAGTTGAAATGTTTTCATGAACTCAAGCGCCGTCTCTCCACCCCTCCCGTGTTGCAACTTCCTGATTTCGAAAAATCGTTCGGTATTCGTATGGATGCCTCGAACTTTGCCGTAGGGGGCGTCTTGTTTCAAAACGAGGGAGGGCTCGAGCATCCGATCGCATTCACTGGTCGTAAAATGAAACCAGCGGAGCTAAACTACCCAGTGCGCGAACAGGAATTGCTGGCTATTATGCATGCGCTTCGGGTGTGGAGAGTCTACCTGCTCGATCGGCCATTTACGGGGAGACAGACCACAAGAGTATTGAGACTATATTGACGCAGAAGACAACAAACCGTGGTGTGGCTCGCTGGTTCAATGAACTAGCCGAGTTCCAACCACAGTTCAAATGGAGTCCAGGCGACAGTAACCAAGTGTCGGATGCAGTGTCTCGAAACCCACTCTTTGAGCACAATGCCGCTCAGGTTAGTCTCAGTGAGCTCATTGAAGCGGCTCGAAACCGTGAAATTGTAGCTAGCGTCCAAACGACCAGTGCAACTGTGACGCACTCGGCCAAACAACTGTACTCTACAGACCGAAGAGTTCAGGAGCTGTTGCAGAGTATCGCTAGTGGTAAAGAGGTACCACGCTACTCTGTGAAGAATGGACTGCTGTATTACCAAACGAGAGATGATGAAAATGCTCGACTGGTAATTCCGGGCAATGAAGATCTGAAGAACCGTGTTATTTGTGAAAACCACGATGTGGTCACGGCAGGTCACCCCGGATACTTCAAGACATATGTGGTGAAGCACCGAACAAGAATTTCCAACTGCGATGACATCAAGCGACACGGTGGCAGAACGATAGGCAGGGATCAGGCTGCGGGTCGCGGATCAAGAGGGTCTATTGAGAGATCTCAAGCGATTGGATAACGTCGACGCGTAAGGCAACACATATGTCAAGACAGATTACGGGCGATCGCGCTTTGACTGCGGCATGATTCGATGTAGACCCAAGCCCGGATCGACGACCAATCTCGCAGATCTAGGGCGGCCGAGAACAGAAGAGGACGGATCGGCAGCGCACGGCAACTCGCACAGGTCATCGATCGGGAGTTGATCGCCGATCGCCGATCGGGATCGATCGTGGATCAGGAGGCGATCGTGGATCGCCGATCGGGATCGATCGTGGATCGGGAGCCGATCGTGGATCGCCGATCGACCCGGATGGGCACATGGGGGCGAAGCCAGGGCAAGAATCCAGTAATCGTTTGGTTGTAGGATGGTAGATGAGATGGCAGCGGTAGAGAGAGACCAGCTAAACATAAATCAGAACGCAATTTGCACAGAAGACCACAAGTGCCCTCAAGTCGTCAAGTCCCAGGAGCTACATTGGCCTCGGCAAGCGTTGACTGAACTAGCGGTACGGTTAAGACTGGATTAATACATTGGCCAGCTTGACCTACTGTAGTGATCTTTCTCTCGTGTGCAAGTCCTCGATCGACCGGATACTGCTTGGCCGGCGATCGCTGCGTCTCTCAATCGACCTCGATCCCGCTATAGGAAGCGGCAAGCAACTCAGGAAAGGAAGGAACACACCCGGAAAGGCAACTAGAGGCCTTGGATCTACTCCAGGCCGACCGATCGAAGCGAAGAACCCTCGATCGGAGCGTATACTCGGACGCAGAGCGAAGACTACCGCGCTGCTCCGCAAACTATCCCCGCGTCACGCCAAGACACTCGATCTTCACCAGGTGCTGCATCTTCGGAGCCCCGAGAGAGCAGATCCAGCCCGCCGACGGGTACACAAGGTGAGAACAAGTTCAGCCGATCACGGATCGTTGGGGGACCCCCTCCGTTAGTCGGTGTCCGGGCGCTGGTGGGAAGCTCGATCAGGCCTTAACCAGATTTTGGCCGATGCCGCTACCCCACAATGGTGCGCGTGCCCGAATCTCTTGGGGACTCCGGATTTCACCGTGAGTCCGTAGAAGATGCGCAAGTGAAGAAAGAACCAGGGGAAGAGGCGTCGTCGGATATCGGATCGACGAAGACGCTGCTGAACAAAACGAGATCCGCGGATCGACAGAGGACTTCTGTCGACGGAATCGAGGGCGATCTGGAGACAGATCTAGAAGACAAACCTCAACATCCTCCCCAGGTCCCTTCGGGGACCCCGGTGGATCTTGGTGCGAACCGAGATTCACTAACAAAACAAACTAAGGCGGGATCGGACCGATACGCGTTCGCTGACTCGCCGATCAGGCTCGATCCGGGCTATCTGGACGCGATCGCGGACAAGACCCAGATCGTGAGGAAGAAGCTGAGAGCGCCAGGCTTGGACGACGAAGATCCCAGACCGTCGGCGCTCGACTGGTCTGAGGCTGACCTGGATCGTCAGTATTACTTGAAGGAACTGCGAGATTTCTTGCGTCAAGATCCTGTCATGGTGATCGTGCGGCCAGAGCAGATCGACGACCCGAAGGGCCCGATTTCGGCCCCCCGAGTGACGGATAACAAGCTGATGGCGGTGAAGAACCTGCTCGGGCTGTTGAAGGAAGCCGGCTTCGTGGCTGGCGCCTTTGAAGCGAACGATCTTTTCGATCAAGATCTCGATGTGATCCAGACAGCGATCCAGACATTGGTCGACAAGTTGAGACCT